CGCTCCAACAGTTCCATGTCCTTCTTGTGCTGAGGGCTTATTTATTTAAGTTATTTGCTTATTTATTCTTCAGTTGATTATGGCACTGTTCTTCTGAGAGAGATAGGTCTGGGCAGCACTGATCTGTCAGCAAAGGCAGGTTCGGATAAGATGCAGGTACTCTAATACCCAGGCCCTTGCCACAGCTAGAACTATCGAAGCTAAACTTCATTTAGAGTAAGTGCAGACAAAAGACAGACCGTGAAACACGCCTGCTTTCAGCAGTCTGACAGACATACAGCTAGGTGTAAGTCAACAGAAAATTAATTGTGAATCACGAAAAGAACAAAGTATTGTTTGAACATTTCATGTGGATCATTTACTTACAGAACCCTGAATCTTCCTTACCAATACAGTGCGAATTTTCCGTAAGAGCAACATTTCTAATCACAGCGAGAGGGAGATGCCTTCACCCTACGACAGCCACTCCAGTTGTGTCCAGGGCACTGCCCTGGGCTACAAGACAAAGTCCAGCAGGGGAGGAAAGGGACAAGTTCCACGTGGCATTTTTTGCTAACATGCCGGAAAATAGATTTTCAGCTAGGAAATATTAAAGAGAAGTGTGCGAAATTGCAGTTAGCTTTAAATAGAATAAAGCCTCCTCTGTCGTTATGTCATTCTGTCACACGCTGGGACAACGTTCAAGTCTCTGCTTCCCTTGTCCCAAGCGAGTGCCTTAACCCCTAAGGTATTGGCTATTTGGGTAGAAGTTTAGCACTTAAAAGGTTTTGATTTCATCAAACAGACTAAATTCCAGCCGTTTTCAAGAGATGTGTATCTGAATGGCCCGCACTGAGAGAAAACCAGTCTGATCTTGGCCTCCACGCTCTCAGTGTCTGGTGTACCAAAATACTGGGCTTTGCTGAAGATCAGTCAGTTTTCTCCTCACAGCAGCCATCAAAGGAAAAGAAGAAGAAAGCCTGTTTAATAAAAATCCTTTTTGTAGAACACCTTGAAAAGCATCTGTGATAAACAGAACTTAGAGCGAGACATTTATGTCCAAGGAGCTGACAGAGGCAGAAGTATCAGGAATACTAAACCTTCAGGATCAGGAACTCAAAATGTTCTCAAGTTCTTCGAGCTTTGATGGCAACCGATTGCCTACAGAGTTTTACAGAAGAAAGACCTGAAGCCAAAGCTGTGTTTGGCTCAGACATGGAACCGTGAATGGAGCACCCGTGAGTAGATTCTGGGGGCAAACGGAATTTTCGGAACACTTGCCACTGACCCCTGTTCCTTCATTATACCCGTAATTAAGCAGAAGCAGAGACACCCTGAAGAAAGCCACGGACCAAAGTACTGCAGGCAGAAGCAGGTGCTGCTTTTATTGATAATTTTCCTTCTACCCTCGCTGCCTCCCAAGTACCTTCCACTACATTAGATGGATCACCTGGTAGTAATCATAATTACTGCCATGATTCCTCACACAGTTACACACATCTCAGAGCTGAACAGATGGTCCCAGGAAGAGATGGGCTTTCTGCAGTTAATTTTTTTAACTAAAGTATAACTGCAGCGTGTCCTGAATCCCTGTGGAAAGCAGAGCCAGGAGATTTCGGACATTATCATAATTCTAACAAAGATTAACAGCGGGGTAAAACCTGTCTCGTTTATCAACTATCAAATAGCAATCATTTAAACACGCCAAAGGCACGATCACATCAGCCTCCCAATGGTCTGATTTGCCCTTCCCTCCCCCGCATCAGTTTTACTGTTCTTCAACCCTTCCAGCCCTCGACCTCTCCAAGGGACAGGCTGGAAGCATACTGAAACACGTGCTGAATGTGTTATGAGCACCGGGGCTAACCAGAGAACTCTAGACCAGAGGATACCATCACAGGAACCATCAAATAAGCTGGGTGTCATGGCGAACAGCTGAAAGTCCTACACATTTTTCTGCATGCTACATCAGATTGTCTCCATCTGGAGTCCCAGCAGAAAGCAATCCCCTACTTCCCTTAGATACTTCCATGGAAAATGCAAATTCTGTTCCCTTTGCCTATCTAAAATGTGCTACAGCAGAGCCTTCCCGAGGGAGTGGTTCTCTCTGTACCTCAGGAACCGAGACCCATTTCCCAAACTAGGTCTCAGCTGTAACAGCCGCCGCCTGCGATGGTGCAAGCTACAACCCCAGCCTGCTGTTACGGTGGCAAAAAGGCCAGCGGGCAGCGTTCGTGCAGCAACGCTCATCGGAAGGGCATGCGTGGGGAGGTGGCATTGCCCCCTCAGCGGGGCGAGAGTGGGAAGTGGCAGCATATAAATATATGCTTTTAAACACAACCTCTTCTTTATTCAAAGAGACGGACGGATATAAACTGGAGTGGGCTGAAAGAGGTCCTTTGACTCAGAGCGAACAGGCGCCTGCGAGCGTTTGGAAGAGGAGCCATGCTGGCAGCAGATGGCAGCACCCGCATCTCATGGGTGCTCCAGTGTCAGCTCCAGCACCAGGGATTTATCATCCAGGACGGATGCAGTACAAACAGTGAATGATTCCAGATGGGGAGAAGGGGATGTGTGCCAGCAGAGATCTCCTCCTGCCTGGCAAATGTCTAACAGCCGCCTGATCCTCAGACAGTTCCCTGTCCAAAAGCATGCTGATAATCTGCTGAAGTGACACACCTTGGAAAAGCTCAACTTCCAGGTATCGCTGCTCCTCCAGCTAGGGCCACAGGCTTCTCTGGGCTCCGTGGGGATCTTGGCAAAGGGTCCAGAGACCAGAGAGAGCAAAAAGTTGCCAAGAGGATGTCCGGGAAACACACATGTGGCAAAGCAGACCACTGCCAGTTCCTGTGCAATAACTCATGAATTTATGGTAACCTCCCACTGAAGACATCTGATCTTTGAGCATCTTAGCTAGAGACAGTGAATTACACTGCAAATCCGCATTGGAGAAGGGGACCCTCGGCTCTTTCCTTCATCCAGACTTGTAGGTTTTGGAAATAACATTACATCAACCCCCCCAAAATCTATAACCTCATTCTGATTTCTGCATTCTGCATAGCTCCCACACCCCTAGTCTCCTGTTCATTAACCTTCCAGTGGGATCAAAACTGCCAAGGAAAGTGGGGTCTTTTTGCTGTATTCTAGCACGTCCTTTGCTCTGTCCGGACTGGCAGCCGGGGCGCTGCAGCGGCAGGCAGCGACTCCCGGCTCTGGACCAAGTCCCACCGTTGACCCCACTGCGTGACCGTGCCGCATGACACCACCTCTGCACAACGTGCTTTCTGCATCTCTGACAAAAACGTGTCAAAAATAAAGAGAAAATTCTTCTCCAGGTTTGCTAATCCCTTTAAAATCAACAGATAGGAAGAGCTCAAGTAGCACTGAGTACTGTGATCCTCCGAGCAGGCAGGAATCCTAGAGACAAAGTGTGACAAACACAAAATACTCAGGGAGAGATCAACAGCAAGAAGATTTCGGTTGGTTCAAATCCAATTTTTACAAACTTTAGGGTTGATTTCCATCTCCATCAAATCTGCCTGCAAATTCCTTGTGTTCCTGACAAATTACGCTGTTAGGTTCATACTGGGTTACCTCAACCAAACTAACACGTTCCATTTGTCACAGTAACTGAAATGACAGTAGAATATTTTGGTTTTGAACAGTATACAAATAAAGGGGGAAAGGGAACTGCTACATGCTTGAGAGTTTACAAACACTCCTCCCTGACAGGCAAAACAGAATCAAAAAAAAATCAGGGAAAGAAAAACACTGTTTGCTTAAAGGAAAAGATGAAGCCCAGGGACTGATTCAGCTTCCTATTGTTTTCTCAGTAATGATTCAAAATCCTGAAAAAAGTACTGTATGCCAGGAAAAGAAGAAAGAGGATATTGCACGAAGCTAAACCTTGTAGTGCCAGAGTCTCCTTTACAATCTGCTTCATAAACCAGAATTAACTCCAGTGAGACAAGTACCAGCCTGGATCTGCACAAACACCTGATGCAGGGGTGCAGTTGTGCTTTTTATTATGGCTTTTTATTCACACAATAACAAAATAAAAAAATTCTTGTGAATTAATGGCTTTGATTAAACTCGAGACCTAATAAATATGACTGGATTGTCACACCGGAGGCCAAACACAACCCGCTCCCCTCCTTTCTGAAAAGACAGTTCAACAGCAAAGTGACTCAAAGGCTCCCGCTTCTTTGACTGCTTTAGCAATAGGCACCAGCATCAATAAACATTTTTTTCACACTAGAAGAGAAAGCCAGAATAGCTGATTTTAAAAATGCAACTGGGTCAGTAGCTGCCTCAAGTAGAATAAATGGGCTGCATGAGTGAGTATGCCCTCAAGAAACATTACTCTGTGGACCTAACTCCTGCTGATGAGGACAAATAGGCCCTTTTAGAGCAGGTTTTTTAAAAGCGCAAAGTGATTGGGGAATACAAGTCCCATAGGTTTCCACAATGCCTCAGGAGCACAATCTTTAGGCTCTTTTGAAAATCCTACCCCTAAACTATACTCAGCTTTGTAATTTAAAAACCCCTGGTGATACTCAGCTCCCGAAGAAGTTCTAGCAACACATCTTTGCACACAGGTACCATCTCTTAATCAAGGACTTTCAAATCTCTATAATCATCAATTAGGCCTCCAAACATCTCAGTTAGCTAAAAAAGCAGTTGCCTTAATTATACAAACTGAAAAAATGGAACCGTGGATAACGGAAAAGACCGGGTTAGTCACAGTAACACAAGGTGTTAGAACCACTGCGAGGAGCAGCACCCACACCTGACCCCCCCAGCCGAGCTCTTACACTTAAACCCTTCTCCCTCCCCGTAGGTGACCGCAGCACGACACGAGCAACCGACCTCCTGCCAAGCTCGCCGTACGCTCCGCAGCCAGCAGGTAGACGTACGGACATTCGCACCGGCCGTGCTTGTCCCCGGTAACGAAGCTACCTGCAAGCACCAGCACCCATGGCTTTGCACCGTCAACGAAAGAGAACCGTTGTTGGAATTACCCCTACTAAGCGGCCTGTTCCGGCTGCGGGATCTGCTGCGCTGTCTCTGCAGTCGTGACCTCCGGAGCAGTCGATAGTAGTAGGACGGTCTCCCAGAACTTTTCCTGCTGTTCATTGACATTTTTGTCTCTATTTTACACATACACACATGCAGGCACAGGTTCACTCTTCCCCTCTGGCAAAGTAGCACCAGTTCCAGCGTTTAATTAACGGGAGGTTGGTTCTTTGGAGTGGAAAGGGAGAGGGGGGGAAGAGGAACTCTTCACTTTACACATTTAAAAAGAAAAACAACAAGGAGAAAACATTAAAAAAAAAAAAGAGAGAGAGGGGGAAAAAAAGAACGCGGCACCAGAGTACATGTCTCAGCTGCGGGAGGACTTGCAGCAAGCAAGATAAACTGTACTAACAATTCCTGCCCCCAAAAAGATAAGCCCGCAGGAGTTGGAATAGGAAGCCAGAGTTGGCCTGGGCTCTCGAAACGTGAAGAATAGGCTGGAAGAAATCCTGGACTGGATCCTCTCCGCCGGACAGCAACATCTGAGCACGCCGGACTGGAGAAAATCAACGGCTCGCTGCCCGAGAGCGCCGGGTGGCCTTAGGGTGCCGGCGCGTTTCTACCTGCCCCGGCCATCGGATCATTTCGGAGATGAAGTTTCAGGCGGCTTGGTCTGCAGCAGGAGGCATCTAGGAAAGACTGGGTTTGGGGAAGGGTATAACGATTTCCTGGCCATGGGACACATGTTAATAATCATCATGGAGCAAAAGCCCCGGAAAATAAAGTGAAACTTGAGAGGGGAAAACTTTAATTAGAAGTTGAATGAACAGAGCTCCAGACTCCCCTGGAGGCCCATTTCCTTTCAACATTCAAACTGAGTTATAGCACATCCCACAAATTAGAGAAAGAGCCTATTTACCATTTGGGTTCTGATGGCAGCGAAGATTCCGCCTCTGGCTCATATTGCTCAATAAAATTACGTTTCAATGGGCAGAATTAACACTTTAAGCCACGGAGCGAAAGAAAAGAAAAGAAGGAAAGAAAGAAAGAAAGAAAAAATAGACTAACCAGATGATAAAAAGTTTCAGTCCACATTTACAGTGTAAAAATGGCAGAAGTGAATTGTCCGGAATCCTTCCTCTATGCTCCTTCCCTCGCCGGCACAGAAACACGCTCCAAAGGAAGAGCGATAGACAACATTTCCCAAAACCAGAACGGTGGCCAAGAACTTAACACGCTGCCACTTCTTCTCCCAAGTTGGCAGATAACAGGAAAACCTCATCGGAGTGGGATGAGCTGCAAAAATGACATTTGCACAACACCGCTCTGTATTGCGTCCTCGTTTTGTCATTTTTCCCAGACATTTGTGTGAATTTGTCTGTGTGGTGCCATGTGAAGCCGCAGGACTAGGCAGGCTTCTTCAGAAGTTTGAAAGCTTCCCCGGGTCAGTGTTTTACCTTCAATAACGAGCAGCAGAAACGATCAGACTTCCATACCCTACCACCAACCACCCACCTCCATTTTAGGATCTCCTAAACTCGTGCCGTCGTGCAAAACATCAGAATTCTACAAAATCTCTATTTTCTTATTTCCACGAGGAGTAAACCCACGGTGTTTATCAGCTGAGAAAGGCCCTTCCGGGAGGCAAAACCAAGACTCGATCTGCAGGGAAGTCCATGCCTGGTTTTGAGGCCAGACGGGAGGAATTCGGCGCCAGCCGGGCCCGAGGAGAGGGCAAAGGCAAGTGCGGGTCAGGGAGGCAAAGCCCAGCTGGGCTGTGTGGGACAGCCCTCAGCCCCCCGCGACACCCCCCTG